ACCTCACCTGGGTAACACAGCAAAGCTGGCCTTGTTGTTGGAAGCGTGGGTGAGCCAACCCCAAAGCTGTACATGTGGGAGAACTGTCCCACTGCTCATCTGTCATGTGGTGTGGGAGGGTGAGAGATACTCCCCTTACCCTGTGCCCCTTCCCCCCTACCAGCTGCAGCACTCAGGACATGGGCCCTGCCTGTCGCCTAGGCAGCACAGCAGAGCTGTCTGGTAGTCAGAGGTGATGGTGACCCATCTCTGATGTTGTGAGCAAAAGAGAGCTGTTCCCATTATTCATCTGACATATGGTAGAATGGGCAGACGAGAGATGCCCTCTCCCCACCTCCCAGCCATCAGTTCCGGAGACAGGCGGAGAAGCTGGCCCTGGGTCATAAGAGCAGGAGGGCTGGCCCGTTCCTCATCAGCTGAAGCACCCCGGAGAGAGGCCCCTGTACCTTGCCTGGGGTTCTGTTGGTGTAGAAGTGGGAGAGCAGACCCTGAGGGCCTGAAAGCAGTAGAACTGGCCCCACTCCTTGCTCATTGCTGCAAGGGTGAATTCGCTGGAACAATGCTGGAGAGCTCACCCTGGGCTCAAGGTCAGACATGGCATGACTTCACTCAGACCCTTCTCTTTTCTTTGCATTTCTTCTTTTGCTCAGCAGTTGGGAACGTCCTCAGTTCCTAATACTGTGATGAAATCAGCTTTATCTCAGTTAACCTTTCAAAATACCTTAGTAAGGCAAAACAACTCTGAATACTAAGGTTAGGGCATGACCATACTTGGGGGGCCTGGGGGATTATTAGATTTATAGAATATTCACTATAATTATATATACTATAAAATATAATATATATTCAAGTGCATCTAAGACTGTGTTCAAAGCTGACATCAACTAGCTGCTGGCTGATCCATACTAAGGGGATATGGAAAAATAGGATTGCACCCAGAAGGACATGACCAACAGAGATGGCTCTTACTGAGAATGTGAAGAGTCACGAGGTCTGGCATCAGTCTCTCAGCTAGGGTAACATCCAGGAAAAGATGACAGGAAAGAGATAAAGGATTAAAAATCCAAGTATTCCTGTAATACTACAGGGAGCAGCATCCAAGTAAGCAAGCAGAGACAAGGCCATAGCCAGGTGGCAATGCAGCTTTCAAGAGACAGAAGGGTGACAGACCTGGATAGCCCCTGCGGGTCATGTGTGGCAAAGGCACCCGAGTAACTGATGACTAAGCAGTACTGATTCCAGGGGTTCATCCTTGCCATCAATAGACGTGCTGTGGGATTCTTTGCTGTCTTGGTTAGCTATTGCTTTGTGGTTAGCCAAGAGAATAGATGCAGGGTAAATGAGCAGAAATTTCTACCCATCAATGTAACTCAAAGGAAAATTTGAAAAATTTCCCAAGTTGTAATGCTAACTTTATAAATTGCTGGACAACATGTCACTAAGAAGAAAATTTCTCGTATTTCCCTTAAAATTCACATAGAAGTCAAAGGCTATACCACTAGTAAGTGTCACGTTCAGGCCAAGGAGTTTATGTATATTTAGTTCTTAAACTGTGGTAGTCAGTTTATGTATGTTTAGTTCTTAAACTATGGTAGTCACTTTTGATGTAATATTTGCAAAAAAACACAAAAGGCAGAACAATGTAGTAAAAAGTCATTGAAGGAGAACCGAAGATCCAGGCTGGTGACACAAGCTTCTGCAGCAAAAAAAAAAAAAAAAAAAAAAAACCTACTTCCACAGCCTGGTACACACACTTTTATAGACTTTTCTAGGTAGGTTTTTGTTGGTGATGCTATTTTTTTCTTTTATGTTTGATTGGCTGGTTTTAGAAAATCAATGCATTGGGCTCATAACCATATCTGAAAGAGGTTACAGTGTGTGTGTGTGTGTGTGTGTGTGTGTAAGGTGGAATATGAGATGTTTATCTAGAAAAGAAGTTAAGGAAATAGATGGTGGTTAACCAAGAATCTTGTAACTGGTAACTGGGTGACATCCTGAAAATAACAGACCATGGAATGCTCAGCTGTAAATAACATATCTGTTTCATCTTGCCCCCTGTGGCTCATGGATCACCATAAAAGAGGGGCAGAGCAAGTGTGAGAGCCAGAGGTGGTCTGGAGGACAAGGAAACGTTTCAGGACAGAGCAGGGCAGTTGCACGTATGAGCTTCCTGCAACGGTGACACCGAGAAAGACCCGTGCAATCTCAAGCTAGACAAAAATCCCAGCACAGTGGGAGGTGAGCACACGGTCCCAGCCTAGCTAATGGCATCTGATCGATGCTGGGAGAGGAAGACTCCGTTTTAAGAGTGTGACAATCATGTCCTGCCCCACAACCAAGAATGATGGACTAGCACAAACTAGACCCAATGGTTAGAAATGAGAGGAGATGAAGTTGGTGGATAGGAGCTGGGGTGGATCTGGGAGGACACAAGTGAATACAATAAAAGTAGGTTGTGGGAAATTCTCAAGGAATTAATAAAAATAGTATTTTAAAAAATAAATTGCCCTTTTCACTTAAAACAGGAGGCAGGCACATCCACCTAACTCTTGCCAATCTGTTAAATTACACTTTATTCAAACCCGACAAGATATACTTTCATCTTCCAAGGACATAGTATAATTCTTATCAGTGAAAATAAGTCAAACTTTTAGATAAAGGATAAATTCAAATTTCATCTCAATTTCCCAGGGTTCTGGGATGCTGCAGAACCTTTTGCAATGCTTTTATCTAAAAAAGCAGGAGTAATAACAACATAATATTTCTTCTTCACAGATGAGGCACGAGACATACCCGCTCCAGACAGCTGTTTCTTTTCTTTCCATTATTAATCCCAGAGACATGGAAGTAGCCCTAACTGCAAAGACATTCCTAATTTGTTTAAGATGGAGTAGAGACACTTTAAAATGGCCAGAGGGAACTTTTATATAGAAAGATGTATATTCATATCCCCAAAGACAATGCAGAATGCATAACATGTGAGCTCATAATTAGAAAACTAATAAATCACATTCCAGATATAATCATAACACCAACTGGATAAAAGAGCCACCATTGGATGTTCCCAAAACATGCCATGTGTCACAGAGACGTTCTGGAAGGATATATGCAACTCTTTTATCCACAACTGCATCAGTTTCTGACTTAGAATTAATACTAAAGTTTGCATACATTCCGCATCTGATGGCTTCTCTTATGTTTTACTAGTTTGGTCATAACATTTGGAAGATGTTACTCAATGTTACAATTTTTGCTATTTAAGCTGTAAATTATAAGAATCACGCCTCTATATGACTATCCATAATCTGAGGAAAATGTTTACATGTTTGTATGATTTTTAATAACCATTTCCTAGTTTCTTATCAAGCATCCTGTTTCATGTTTTTAATCACATTTGTGAGATTCAAATCACTATTTAGTATCTATGACATCTATAGCCTTCGGGAAGGCTGAGCACATCCTATCTATTAGGCAGGCCATAGCCATGCACACGGCCTTGGAAAGGCAAAGGCAGCTCACAGTTGGCAAAAGCAATGTATCCCATTTATCCCAAGCAAGCACTATACCTGTATATCGCGTGTGCCTCAGGAGTAGGTCAGAACGCCAGTGGCTATAAATGCAGCACTATCTGTGGAAAGCAAGTCTTCTCTATGCACAACTCAAGTTCCATTCTCGAAAGTGAAGTGAAGAGAATGGGGTATCTGTGTTAATGAAAGGAAGGCTTACAATAATGAAGACTGGTGTGTGCTGCTTCTCTCCCCACCCAGTGAGCCTTCCTATGTCAGAGATATTAATTACCAAAATACACTAAAGTATTTCTAAAATTTGACATATTGATTTCACTATCCTTGATGAAGGAAAATATCACTAATCTACAAATGAAGAAAGTGAACTGATAAAATTGTATGTCTTACCTAGATATGAAATATTTTTGAACAATAGAAAAGTAATTCTTCAGCCATCATGAGACCTATATTATAGGTTCAACTCTTTAAAAAGAACATGCTCGACACACTGTCAAATACTTTGTGGGAGGAACAGGCTAGCTGGTGGCTCAGTTTCCTTTTGTGGCTTGACCTGGCCTAATTCACTGAGATTCCTGAATCTATACATTTTACGGGAGGGAATCAGGTGTTGGCATTGCAACCCGTAGCAGCAGCATCCTTGCATCTCTGCTTACTGTGCAGTAAGAAGAAGACAAGCTACAATGTCATCACTCAAGTCTAATGAGCGGAGGTCTGCAGACCTCTTGTCTGACTATCACACCAAGTTGTCTCCTGATCCTTGTACATATGAAGGCAACCTTCGCAAGTACAGAACTTATGTGCTTCTCTGCCATGCTTCCATTAGCAATGTCCTGTCTGTGTACAACTATCTTACAACTATCCTTCAACACTGCAGAGGAATAAAGATACTCATGAAAGTTGAACAAATCTATTTTCACTCGTTGTCACCAACCTACTTCTCAGTTGCTCTCATTCAGTCACTGCACACATCCCCATGCTTCTGGTAGGGCACATCAGAAGCCCACTGTACTCTGATGGACGCCTGGCATGTAGCTCAAGTTAGTGTGGTATGCCGTAAGTACAGAAGATAAATGAGCAGAAAGTCAATATTTGCCTACAAATATTAAGTTCTCAGTGGGTTATAAAAATAAAGAATTCCTTCACCTAAAGTCCTTCAAATACATCTTTAGGATTTTCCCTGATAATCAGCTTAAAGGCACTAAGTCTGGAAGTTGAAGCCGAAGTCTTCCTATACAGTGAAGCAGAAACCGACAGAAGGCTGTACCATATGGCTCTAAGTAGCAAGGTTACTTAGAAAGCAGAGATGATATAATGGCAAGTTCAACATTGAAGATATGTGTGGGACAAGAGCACATCGTGCGTGTATATAAAATGATCCATATTTTAACTACACAAAAAATGGAAAGTTACTTCTTGCAGAAGAGAAAATAAATATAGGGAAAGTGGAATTGAATGAAAAGATGAATCATTCAGTAAGCTTGAAAATCAAAAATTTTACGAATAGTTTTAGTATAGTTTTCACACTGCTCTCAAGGGCACTAACGATACAAAGTCTGACTCTTCATTAGTCCGAAGAAGAGACACTCAGCTGAGATCCATCTGACTGCAGATGCTGGAGTTAGCGGCACAGCACTCCTCTAGTGTGTGATGCTTCATGACACCGTCCACTAGAAAAAGTAAAATAGACAGGCATCAGTCAGTACATTTTGACTTAGATTATGTAATGATATTCTAACGGACAAACAGAAAGAAAATTATGGGTCAAAATAATTTTCTTTGCAAATATCCATGAATAATACAATTTTATATTACATACAAAAATTTGAAATAAGAGAGTTGCCTGAAAATAAAGGCAAGACAATATTTTGGAGGAGATAAAAGGGTGACCTTAAATGGGCCCAGTCTCTTGGACAGACACCCTTGTTCTCTGCCCAAGTCTCCCTCATGAGCAGTCAGAATCTGTCAGAGCTAGGAATGTTAATATCCTGGAATGGGGGTGAGGACTGGACGGAAGAGTAGGTACCCTGAATCTCCCTCTGTATTGTACTACTACATGCATTATGTTGTCCCCAAGAAATGGGACCCAGAGTGAGCTGCTTTCCAATGCCCTTCCTCGGCAGACTCCATTGACCTGAAAAGCCACACTGACTCAGAAGTCACCCCCAGGCTTCTGTTGTTCTATGAAGCTTGTCCATGAGCAATAAACCCATGCCATGTAGGTCATATATGTGAGTGGCTGTTCACCAGACTCAGAAGCTGGCAGACACTGAGTCAGCTTCCATTAGCTTACATCCCAGACACACAACACAGTAAGGGGGAAAACAGCATTAGCGAGGCCACGGAATGAACACAAAACAACAACAAAAAGAATACTTTTCTTCTTGAGCCAGGACCCAAGAAAGAGTAGTTATTAAATAATTTTGTGTTAAGATCTTTCCCTTTCTTTTTTTTCCAGCAAATCTTTTATTTTTTATTAAAAATTTCCACCTCCTCCCATTTCCCTCCACCTCCCCCATGTCCCCTCTCCCTCCCTCTCTTGAGAATATACTCTATGTGTCAGTTTGTTTAGCAAAGTCTATGAAATCTTTGAGAGTAAGTTCTAGAAAATCCTTCAAGTAAGGACAATAAGTATTCACGGTCATCTAAGTATTATTTTCAAACTGTATCCAAGAAATATTTAGTGCTAAAGATGTTTTTACTACTATTTCAATACATTTGAAAATTAAGGGTTGACAGGAAATAACTCACTTTAATTTATTATATGACTTCTTTGAGCCTTAAATATCATGTGTCTCATAGTTTGCAAAAAAAAAAGTACAGGCTGGAGTGAGAGCCCAATGTATAAAGCATACACCGCTCTTCTAGAGGACATGAGTTCAGTCCCAGCACCCACACTGGGTGGTCACTCCAACTCTGGGGATCCAACGCCTTTGGCCAGTGATGGCACCTGCACTCACCTAGATATACATACCCGCCCCCATATATGTAGTTAGAATTATAAAAATAAACTTTTCAAAAATGGTGGCAAACAGTCTATAATACATTTGGGGTATATTCTGTACTATCAATGGTTTTTAAACAAAGGTTTTCTTAAGATTAGTGTTAATTTAACATTGGGAAATCTCAATCAGGCTTTAAGTTGAAACTACAATGGGAAGATAAATATCTCTGTGCCCTAGTCTACCCTCAGAAACACTTCAGATTAACAGGCGCAGCCCTCGCTGAGACTGTACCTTGGCCATTGCTCCTACATGAATGTCTGCTATAGATCTGGTGGGGTCATGGTCCTTGGTGTGGCATTGACCCTGGAGTGGGTGTTACAGCCTTGGTTAGGTAAGCCCCTTTCTGTAAAACCTTGAACACTATCTATGCTACCCCAGGAAACAGGCAGATGCCGGATATATGATAATGGAAAAGAAACATTTTCTTCATGACAAGAATCTTCCTGGTCTGAAGGATCCTCCAAACTGTGCACAGAACAAGACACTGGAGGACCCAGCCCGAGACCCGAGCCACTGTCTGTGTAGTGCTTCTCCTTTTGTTATTCCTGGGGCCACAATGCATTCCTTTTGAACTTCTTGCTTTGAGCACTGGCCAGGTGGCTACAGAGACAAAGACACACTCCCGAGGCTGCCGGTGAAGAGTGGCCAGGAGGACCACACAGTGGGCGGCAGCAGTAGGGTGTGGGCGTGATTTTTCCTTTAAGAAAACCCTGCAGGTAGTTCAAGTTCCTTAGGGATGGAGAGGGAAGAGGAGAGGGAGTGGGGGGAGTGGGAAGGTGTTGGGAGGAGGGGCGAAAATGGAAACTTTTATAGTTTAATAAACTTTGAAAAAAAAAAAAAAGAAAACCCTGCAGCAGCTTTGCAGTTTGATGCTCATGACTAAGGAAATCAGATAGATTTTGTAAAAGAAACAGCGCAAAATGAGAAAGGATAACCATGGAAATGCTTTTGTTGTGAGCTCTGTAGAGAAGCCTGAAGCAACACGAGGCGTAGAAGTAACATGAGGCCTGGTATCTTTTCAATCTACAGGCCTCAGAATGAGAGAGCTGCAGATTTAATGAAGAAAGCCTGATTCCTAGGCTTGAAGAGTGGGCTTACTAGGCTATAACATGTGAAATAAATGTTTTCTTAATTCTGACTACATGTATGATAGCTAACTCAACTAAACTTAGCGCCTACCACTCTTGGGAACTTTGTACCTCTGCTCCTGCTAGGAATCTGTGGATCCCAACATTCTTTCTAGTGCTATGATTTACTCTTTATCTTTCTTGTTTTTGAGAACACAATTGGAATTAAGCTTAGTGTCAGCTTTTTAACTTAGTAGGAAAAAGAAAAACTTAGTTTTCATAATGATTTGATCTCATTATCTATCAAAATCCCACCAGATATATTCTGTCCTCTTTTCCAGTCTAGGAAAGGATATCTATAAAATAAAATGGTGACCTGACACAGCTCAATACTAAACCCATATTTTATTAATTATTAAAGTCCACCATAAAGCAAAGCATTTTTCTTTTCATTTAATTCATTACTTGAAACTTGATGAAGTAATTCATTGTAGTAAACAGCAGAGAGAAGTGCTGTCTCTGACAGGCTTTCCTGGGCCTGAATCGACTCCACTTAGGGAGGTCCTCGCTTCTTGCCTGCCTGATCTGGCCATACAGACATAAATGCCTGAGATTATGTATGCGTGTGTGGTTCTGAGACAAACCCAAACGAAATTTCAAAGAGTAATTACCTAAAAAGCTTAAAACAATTAAGGAGACTATGCTTTTCTCAATTATCCTGAGGCTGAAAGCAGAGTTCATGTGAAGTCACAGTATCTGAACTGTTACTTTCCTGGGCAGCAACATGGATGATAACTCCCATTAGACTACAGCCTCCTGATGAAGGACCTCTGTCACTTAGCGGGTACACTAAGGGACACAACCAGGCTCAATTCAGAAGCATAGCTATAGGGAGAAATGTGTACCACTTCACTGCTGCACACACCACAGTCTAAACTCACATATGCATAACTAAGGTAATTAGCATCAACAGAAGGACCAAAAGTTCCTACAGCCTGGAGGAGCTCAATGGAAGGTACAGGCAGGGAGATCAGGTGTTGTAGATCATCCCTGGCTATGTAGTGAGTTCAAAGCTAACATGGGCTGCAGGAGAGCACGTCTCAAAAAAACCAAATAAGCACAAAACCAAAGATCTCAAACCCTGGAGTGAGGACATTTAAACTACACATCAGAAGTTTCAGAAGAACTCAACTTCATGATTTACGTACAAGTAGATATTTGACACATTTGTCAAAATGGCAGAATTGGGTAGAGCTTGGCCTTTTCAATACTCTTTTATATTGCCTGCTTTTCTGACACACCGATGATTAGCATTACATATAAAACTTAGGATAATGTGCTTAGAAGGGAAACTTATTATTTTGGGGGAAACGAAAGCAAACCTATCCCAATATTAAAATAAATTGTCATGTCCTCTAATCTCTGCCCCCTGTGTTTTCAAGTTACCTGGGGTCTTTCTCAAAGACAGTTCCAGGGACATAGTGACTAAAATGTTAGGTGACACTATGGACCGCCAGGTGACACTATGGACCGCCAGGTGAC